ACATAGGAGCAACCATAAGTAAAACTGTATGCTAACTAGGAAAAGCTAGACATCTATCAATTTAGTAGAATTATTGCTGAAACACTTTAGAAGTGTATAAATTAGGCATTCCGATAAGTCTGTTAAAATTGAGCAGATGATTAGAAAAACACATTAATTTACTCTTACACTCAAAGGTATTTGACAATAGCATATGACTGTAGGTATTAGCAGTCTGGGTAGCAGATTGCAGTTATTTAAATTTTTTCTAAAAAGACCAAAAAATAACTGTGGCGCAGTAGATGTGATCCGTGCAGTCATTAACTTAGAAGTAAACACATACAGTATAAAAAGGTATATCAAAGAAAACCGTTTCTTAATTATTACTATGTATTTTGATTTTCTCTATAGTATAAACTCAACAAATCATTTTTCCCCCCAACTGTACAAAAAAAGGATTAATGCTTAAATAAGCAGATCTCAATGTGACAAGAAACATCTTGCACTCCTAAAATGGAATCATTTGGCATGTGTTTATATAGCTCTCTCGCAGTTCATTTCTAACTAGTCCTAATACACATCGTCTGCTTTGCAGGAGTTTACATTCAAAGAACTAAAAAAGGCCTTTTTGCTTTTCCATCTTGTTCCTAGCAGACTAAACAAAAATGAATAAGAGTCTACTTATTCAATAAAACTGTGAAAACAAAAAAGTGGGGAGTGCAGTAGCCATAGTAACTAGTCAGCATCCATGTTGTACTAATATGGATTAAACCTTTAAAAAGGTAGCAAGCATCAAGGCTCTTATTTCAGAAGACACATACTATGCCTCTTCTGCAATGAAAACTTATCTTCTTAAAGTGATATTAAACCTTATTTTTTTTAATGTTATCACTGGGGGGCCGCATTCATTTAGATCATTGGGGTTTTTTTTTTTAATTCTTCAGTGCCTTGTTTTCTAGTGGGTCCCCGCAGCACGCCCTCTCCCCCCTGCACAGGTGCCTTCATCAGCTAAGCTGCTGCTGTGGAGGCACCCGTGCTTGCTCGTTCCCGCAGTAGCTGCAGCAGGCCACGCCCCTCCTCTCCACCCAGCAGTTTGACTGATGGCAGAAGGAGCCTATGGCTCTTCTGCCCTCAGTATCCCCTCCCCGCAACCAGGAAGTTTGAGAGAGAGCATCGCTTCGGGGATCGCCGGCAGTGACAGGTAAATATGGAGGTAACGCTAAAAGGTACTGGGTATTTTTGTACCTTAACGCACTAAACGACCATCCTTTAGTAATACTTTAACTTTAGAATGTACACTGAACTGTTCATGGGCAGCTCAGTGTTCATTCTCAGCATGCCTTTGTATTGAGACAAATCCTCGTGCGCATGTGTGAGAGTTACATAATTACCAGCCAGCCAATCAAGATGGCAAAAGATGCCAAACCCAGAAGACCAGCAAAGATGTCTGCGCTGGCACTGAAGCTCGAGAACATCACATGGCTGGAAGGGTGGTGAGGATAGTTAAATTTAGTTTTAATTTAAGTAGGGTACATCTGATTAGTCACAGTGGGTTAAGCTAGATACACACAGAGTGAATCAGATGAAATGTGTTCCTTTAATGGCCCTATACCCGTAATGGAAGTCGATCATTAGATTGCCTTTTGCTAAAAGGAAATGCTGGAAAATCCTCGGCTTAACAGTGCATGCAGCTGCAAGTACTGTTCGGGTATTTTGACAGCACTGCTGTCAGAATACAAAGCACACATATTGAGAATTGTTCATCTATGCAGTTAGTGTGGTTGGGGGACTCTCATTGTACCCAGCTTTAGTGTGATTTGCACTTTGGCTTTACTTCTTGAAATGTTTCTTGTAGTGTTTGATAAATATATATATATATTTTTTTTTTGTAGGACAATAATTTCTTTGGATGATATTGTCTTGTAAAAATGGTTTAATTTTTATGTAATTCATAGACAAAATAGTAACAAAATTTAAAATATTTTTTTTCTCATTAGTTGATTAGTGTTGAAATAAAAAAAATTTGTGATACCGAAAAAATTATGAACAAATTGAATAAAAATGTTAAAAGTTTAAATGTTAAAAAAATAGAAACCAAAAAATCAGCAAGAGAATAGTTGAGGGGAAAGGGGGAAGGAGGAGTTAATTAGGGCAAATTATGGTAAGTTAAGGGGCTAAATCTGAACAAATTTTATTTAACACATTTTTTTTTCCGTTTACTTGTCAGGTTGCTTTACCTGACATCATTTAAAGATCAAAGCTCATAGCCTTGATCTGCAGATAAATGAAACATATTAGATATAAATGTAAGTAGGCATGCACAGATACCAGTGCCGATACTTGGCATTTTCTTGAGAACTACCAGGTTGCAGCTGCGACTGGGCTCTGGAGCTCCACCCCTGTCCTGAAATCATTAGTCTGTATTGTTTTTCCGCAGGTCTCCTGGGTCAGACTCAGTAGGACACCATTGAGATATTACTGTGTATTTACCAGCGAGAGCAGATGGTAGTCAGGCCTTTGTCAAAAAAAAGTATTCTGTTCCCTTCACTGGATGATACTCTGAGCGTGGCTTAACGCACATTGATCCCCTTAGGGGCAATTCACTGGACACTGGCTCCTCTCACCTTTTAGTCTCTGTTTATAGAGGAGAGGTTTACACTTCTATGTATGCCTCAGACCCTGCACATCAAGCCAAACTCGTCTGAGGAGGACCCGATGTCTCCCTAGGTGGTCAACAGGCAGGGAACAGTTTCCTGCTGCAGGTACTCCCAGAAAGACAATGTGAATCACTTACTGACTTTGGGGGACTCCTCCATCCAGGGTTAGGTCCTCTTTCCTTGACTGTTTCGGATCCCATTGAAGAAGGGCTTCTGGTTTCTTCCATTGTTTCAGCTTCAAATAGGTCTCCTAACCAGATGCTCTCTCTTTGCTGGACCTAGGGGTTCAGGAGCATCCCTGGACCCATGGCTAGACATGCTTTCTCTGGGATTGCTCCAGAGTTAATTATCGTGTACCAGGGAGGATGTTTTCAGCTATCCTCGACCCTTCTGGTCATTTTCAGTTCACCAGTGTGGTACCTAAATCTAGATTCCTTCCTTTGCCTAACCTTTTAGAGGTGATTTCTTGTACCCTAACCCTTTAGTAGTTTGACTCGTTTGAGGGACAACATTTCTAAACTCTCAGGTGGACTCAGGAGTCGCTGCACTATCTTGTAGACTGCTGTATTCTAGCTATTGCAGGATTCTCCTTAAATAGCTTCACCTAGGGAGGTTCCTTCTGGGGGTTTTGACTCCAATTCTTGTTGACCGCATCAGGTTGTGGATCCTTTCCTCCCTTCAGGGGAATGTATCATTCCACCTGTTTTAGTGGATTCTGGTTGATCAACTGTTTGCTTTTTTCAAGTTGTGGCACTCCACCTGTTTTGGGGTTAATCCCCTCTGGTAGTGATTCTTTTCTTCCTGGCTTTGAGCATCAGGTTGACTCTTCGCATCCTTCCTTTGGTCATTGTCTTTTTGGTTGGGGGGCCAGTCTCCTCAGATCTCCAAAATTCACGCGTTGGTCCTTCAGGCAGACCTTAGGTTGCTAGTAGTTTCTCAGTTCAGTTTTGTTGGATCTGTGGGAGGTTGTTGCTCTGTTGGCCGCCCCTCGATTGGACTGCTTTTAGACATCCCAACAGTATCTGAATTCCTAGACCCCTCAATAAATGAGAATGACAATAGGATTTTTGTACTGTTTATTGTGGGGCAAAGGAGTTTATTGCGGGGCAAAGGTCCCACCTGTGTTTATGTTAATGTTTTTGGTACCGCTTTTCTACAAAACTAAGGCATACTGGGAGTAGAAGGGGTTATTCTGGGCTACCCCACATTTGTTTGTTTGCCAGTGTCTATCCTCCTCTAGATGGCAGTATAGCTTGATAGTATCTAGAATCATCTGCACCTTAAAGGAGAACTATGGGGTTAAGGCTTTTCCGCATAGTTCTCCTTAGGGTAATGGGAGGACACAAACTAGCGTCCTCCCTAAGAAAAGGATTTACAGTAAGTGCAAATATCATACTGTAATGATTTATTACTTAATAGGTAACTGAATTCATTTGTGTCTTTTACTAATGCCTGGAGTGAAGCTATAAAGCGTATGAGATTTGTGCTTAGAACTGCTTAAAGAAGATGTAATAACCCTTGCAGTAGAGCTACCCCCTGACTGTAAGGACTAAGTGCTTGTTTTAGTTTAGGTTCAAAAATAACAAAGTTATACTTACATGAAGCTCCAAGCCAGCCAGCTGTCACGGTGCTCCCTCCAGCCACTCGCCTCCTATGCTGCAGTGATCAAATGTTTCTCGGCATCCTCACATCTATACACAGTGTAGGGACCTTGGGGCACTGCATTGAAGGGGGAGAGAGGCTGTAAGGACCGGTGCGTAACTTTTTTTTAACCTAGACAAAAACAAGCAGTTTATTATTAGCGCCTCTGCCTTGCAAGGAGTTTGCATGTTCTCCCTGGGCTTGCGTGGGTTTCCTCCGGGTACTCCGGTTTCCTCCCACACTCCAAAGTCAAGCTGGAAGGTAAATTGGCTCCTGTCTAAATTGGCCCTGTATGTATGCATGTGATATATTGACATTAGATTGTAAGCTCCCTGAGGGCAGGGACTGATGAGAATGTACGCTATGTAAAAGCACTGCGTAAATTGTTGGCGTTATATAAATACCTGTAGTAATAATAATAATAATATATAGCGCCAACAGCAGCGCTTTACAATATAAGGAAGACATTACAAACACATTACAATTCAAGACAAGATGGTACGGAGGTTACCCCTTACAGTGCAGGGGTAGCCCCACTTCAAGGGTTAATTAAAAAAAAAAAAAATAATGAAGCTCTTTTTTTAAGGCAATACACTATTCTGTTTTATTATTATTTTATTATCAAAAGAACTAATTTTTGTGGATGAATAAAGAACATATTTTTTTCTTGATGATGTGAAAAATAAACCATCTATTAATTGTTACCTTTTTTTCTCACATCAGGGTAGTACCCAGGCCCGACAAATTGGAGCAGTGGCCTATGTAGAATGTTCCTCCAAGGTGTCCGAGAACAGCGTGAGGGATGTCTTTCACGTCACCACTTTGGCCTCTGTTAACCGAATCCACAAGAACCTTAAACGGAGCAACTCCAAGAGAGGACTGAAGCGTGTATCGCAGCTACCTGGACGGACTGAACTGTTAAACGAAACAGAGATGCGCAAGGACCGTGCCAAGAGCTGTTCTATCATGTGAAAGTGTTCCTGTCTGCTGTAAACAAACAAAAAAAGTGTGTGGAGGTTAAACTTTGCACCGAGTAACAGGCACCCAGCAGACATAAATGGCAGGTTTTGCTTTGCCCAGTGTTGCGTAATCATAGCTAGTCTCTGGACGATGCCATTTACAGCTAATTCCCGATTACATAGAGAAATAATAGATGACAAATGCAAATCAGTGACATATAAACAAATTAACACAAAACGCGCATTCAGAGTTTGCTTTTTGTCCTGCTGATTCCGTCCTCATAATTGTATTTATATGTGAACACAGCTCACGCCCATTGTACAGAATTAAATGAAGGCACCTCTGTAAAGCCTGTTTAACGTGTGTATATATGTATGTATGTTTATATGTATATATACACACAGTAGGATGGTTTGAGAAATGATTGTTGCAAAGCTATAATTAAATCAATTTTATTGTTATGTTGTTGTTTTGTGTTGTTTTAAGATAGGCACTTGTTTGACTGTGAATGAGTATGTTATAAAGGAAAATGTGCCAATAATTGTTCCTACCAATACTATGGCTGGTAAGGCATCATTGTTCTTCAAAAGTCACAGTATCTACTAGGGTCGTCCCTATAATGAGGGTGTTGCCTCAGCCGGCATCTTTTTGGGTCACGTGAGGGAACGTCAAGCAGAGGGGCATGAACGTTCTTCTGCACAATGTTTGCATTGTGCCTGTAGCCCCTTTTTTGGCCAGAGCATGCCAGGTTGCTAAGAGGCAGGCAGGGAGATGTGTATGGGCCATACACATCTCCCCACCCAGTTCTTAGCAACCTTGGATGCTGCAACCAGTGTCCTGCTGAGCTCCTGGCAACCAATTATGTCACTAAGGCTAAGGACACTCCCGGTAGCTATAAAGCCAAATACTAATTTCCTGGGGTCTAGGAGGGGTATAACCCGACACAAAATACTTGACACGCTTGCCATCCCAAAACTAAGTTGAACAGATTAAATGTAAACCATGACATGAAAAGAGCTCATATCACCTATGGCCAGCTAATGATCAATCTCATGAACCCTTCTATTGCTGGTTTCTAAACATCTACCACTTACTGGTTATAAATAATGTAGGTATATATTTATATATATATACAGTGTCTTGTTTTTGTTGCATTACCATCTGGAATTAAAATGGATTTTTGGGTGTATTTGTACTATTTAATTTACACAACATGCAAAATACAAACGATACAAAAGAAATAAGACAAAAACTGAAAAGTTGAGCGTGCATAACTATTCAGAACAGGTGTATATATACTAAAATCATGTGACGCTTAGATTGCACCCAGGTGGTCTTTATTTAACTAATAATGTGACTTCTGAAGGTAATTGGTTGCACCAGATCCTATGAGGGTGCATATCTTATTTAAATATAATCAAATGTATAATCACTTTTTATAATTTTTTTTAAAGCAAGTTATTATCTTAATTTTACTTCACTATTTTGTGTATTTCCATATTTTGTGTATGTGCAAAATCCATTTAACTTCCAGATGGTGGTGATGCAACAAAATAGGTAAAATGCCAAGGGGGTGAATACTTTTGCAAGCCACTGTATGGTCCTCTGTTTAAAGACATTTTCCTGGTAAAATATAGCAATATGGAGAAAACAAGAGTTCTTTGTCAGGGTGTACATATACTTTAAGCTCCCCAATTAACAAGTAAAAGCTTAGCCTATGAGTAGCTAATTTGAAAAAGGAATGTGTATGATGATCAAAACTAATTCATTCAACTAACTGAAAAGAAATTGCACATTACTTCAGTACACAATGAGTTCTGTTTATTTTTGTGTGGATTTGCCACCTTAAAATGGATCACCAGTATATTGGATATGGGTGGGTCACCTGTCCCAGGCTTGAGTTCATAGTGCTTTTTTTCCCCCTTGTCCTGCTCTGCAAAGTTTAAAGTGGTATTTTATTTCTATATCTAGACTGCAATGTCTTACCAAGGACATTGTACTAATGAGATTTAAATGGCATGCAATGTAACATCATAAAAGGTAGAGTGGAGCTTTGATAAGAGGAGGTTTAATGTGACTTGTTTATGGGGGTGAAAAGGTGAAGTAGAGGAGCAGTGACATCTATGTTTAGAAGAGTTAAAGTATGCGGGGATGGCACTGGACACCTAACCGAGCACATTCATTGAATTTCTTTATTGGTAAAGTAAACCAGAAAAATTAAATAGATATGCTGTGTAGTAGAAGGGGAAATAAATGACATCAACGAAGAGGTATTTTTTGATTCTCCCTCTGCATCTCACTTTCTTCTGCAGAGGATTTACATGCAAATGTATCCGCTGTTTAGGGAATAGCTTTCTGAAGTAAAAAAGCCTATAAGTCCCATGTCTTCAGTTTATAGCCATACTGTCCAGGATCGGGAAAAAAAAACATTGATTTTTACATTTTTTATAGCCCTGTTTTATCATGTTTTTAAAACTTCATTGAAGAAATGTGTAGATGCAGCCTGTGTCAGCTCAATCGGTATTCTTCTATCTGAATAACTGCTGGAAGACCAAACAAAAGGATAAACCAACTGTAGAGATATTTTTTTATCATGTGTTGCTAAAGCTGAAAAGATTTTGCTCATTGGCGCAAACAATTTAACCGTTAAAAAAAAGAGACTGTTTGGTTGAATAGACACAAATAAATACTCCAAGAGCGTGTACAGATAAAATACAGCTTATAAAAGTGAAACAGGACACACTAACTAATGCACACAATTTGTTTGTGTTTAGTATTTCATTGCCCTGCTTACACATCAGATTTGTCATAAAGGAAAAGTCAATCAACAATGCACTGTGAATTAATATATTGATTTTGTTCTTGTCCGTTCAGGCATATGGGAATTCAGAAACTATTGGGTTATACTGCCTCCTACAGGAGGTTTGGACCCTGGCAAACAAAAATTGTAAGCTAGCCTCCATATAAGCCCTCCCCTACCCAGCACGTCTCAGTTTTTTGCTAGTGTCCAAGAAAGTTTGATGCCTTTTCTTCAGCTGAATTATTTTTCCTGTGTCTTCAATCAAGATTCCTTGCTGACTGTCCATATACAGCAGCTATCTGGATTGGTGTTTCCTCAAGCCTAGCTTTAAAGGCCAGACCCCGCTGGACTGGAAATTGTGGGACTAGTTTGGAATGTGATCTTTGGGCTCTGCTTTGTGGCACTTTCCAGATATGAGTATACTGGGGACAATTCAATATAGCTTTTTATGGCCATATTACAAAGTCCTGTGCCACATTCTTGAAAGCCATGCAACAGTTTTCATGGTATTATCTTGTGTGCTTATGTGACACTTAAAGAATGTGTAAACTTTTTTTTTTTTAAAGAAATACTGCCATACCGATGAAGAGAAAAGTGGAGGTAAATAAAACCTCTTCCATGTTTCGGTAAATTGTGTCACACATAAAACTAATATCAGAGACAATAAAAAATCAGTTTGAAACAAAATCTTATCTGAGGCAGTTATATACACCTTACTGACACTAACATAAGTCTGTCACAGGTTGTGCCATTTGATTCAGATGGGAGACACATTTCTATTGATTGCCTATGACATTCTTTATAAATTCCAGAGACTGTTAGTTACAAAAACTCTTCAAGGGGTGTGTTGAGATCTTTTGATGAGTTTTGGGGTATATAAATGTGTATTACATGTTACACCATTGTCACTGTCGCCCTGATGAAGAGGCCCTGTGTGGCCCCAAAACTTTGGCTTTTCTGATACATGTGACATCAATAAATGATCAGCAATATCTAAAAACAACATTTTCCGAGTGCTGGTGATTTTCCTCTTTTCTGAACTTGAAGATACATGGCGCCATCCGTGTTTATCACTGCGAGCACCACATTGACTATTGGTTCCAGACGCTGAAAAGAGTGCAGTAGAAACATCTATAGAAAATGCTGGATGAGTGCTAGACTCAGAGTAGAAAGGTATGCCTGGGAACTGAGAAAGTACAATTGCATAAGTGGGAGCACATGAAAGGGGAAATAACACATTCAATCAGGGTATAGAATCATTTAGAAACAAAGAAGAGTACAGCCCCAAAAAGACCAACTAGGTCAGTTTAATCTGCCCCCTTTTTGAAGTTTTTTTTTTGTCTGAGTTTGTCCCAAGCATGTTTAAATTTACTTACTGTTGACTGATTCACTACCTCTGCTGGAAGTCTGTTCCAAGCATCAACTACTCTTTCGGTAAAATAATACTTTCCAAGGTTAATTTTGAACTTTCCCCCCGCTTGTTTGAGGTCATGTCCTTGTGTTCTTGATATTGAAAATACCTTCATATTGAAAAAATACTGCACTTCTGGATCTTAATTCCCTCCACCCTGATCAACATGCAAGAAATACCTGTTTTGAGACCCAGTCATGTCATCACTGGGTCTTTCTGTTGCTCTTTGCTCTCTTTTCAAAAGAAATATTGAAAAAACATATCTCCGGGATCCCTTTAGGTGTATATCCCTGCTGCCCACTGGGTGCAATGTGCTGACTGGTTGACTGTGGTGGCAGGCATGGTTAAAGGGAGACGGGCGGTGGTGTTCTTTCAAATAAAGCTTTGGAAAAATAATTGTGTATATTGTGTAATTGTGTGAATAATAAATGATGGTAGAGAAAGTGAATAGCTGTGAGGAGGGAGCCAATGATGGCAGGATCAGGAAAATAAGTAATTGATGAGTGATGGAGGTCATTCAGACAGGAAATAAAGGTGGGTTCAAGATAGTTGCTGTAGTTTCGAAGTGTTATCTGGTTTTCAACAAGTTATAGAGTAATCAGTTTCAACAGAGAAGAAAACACAAAAAGGTAATGATGGAGTTCAGTTTTATAGGTTTCAGTCATGTTCCCCCCCCCTTTCCCATCTTCCCACAAGACTATATATTAAGTTCCTGGAGGCTCTCCCAATGTTTTATCCTTCATACCTTTCACCATTTTGGTTGCCAGTCTTTGGACTTGTTCTATCTTATCATTATCTTTTTGTAAATGTCTCCTGAAGTAGACACTATTCTAAATGAGATCTAACTTAACATCTATATAGGGGAATTGAGACCTCCTTCTTCCTGCTGGTGATCCACTTAGTGAGGCACGCCAGAATTCTATTTGCTTTTCCCACTGCTAGGCCACACTGTTTGCTCATTATGCAATCATCATAAATAAGAACCCCAAATCTTTTTCCTGTGTAGTTCTTACCAACACTCTACCCCTAATAATATATTCTGTCAAAGGATTGTTTTCCTTAAGTGTATTATTTTGCATTTAGAAAGGCTGAACTGCAGTTTCCACTGCTTTGACCAATCTTCCAGCATTGTCAAATCATGTTCCATGTTACAAGCACTTCCATAAATATCAACCATATTGCTCACGTTCATGT